GGACCGGCCTCGGCTCCTCTGTTGGAGGCCCCGACCTGATAACGGGGCCTGTGGTCGCAGCACCTCGGTTAGTGGAGGCACCCTTCGCCTTCTGCAAAAACTTCAAGCGACCCATCTCGATGTCTTTGGCAAATTGAAGCTGGACTTCGGAACTGGAAAGTTTACGTCGGGAACTGTCGGCGTCCTCAACCGACTTGAAACCGTGAAAACCGAGGATTGGATAATAAACTGAGAAAATCCATGTTGGAGAAGTCAGACGCGCAGGAGAAAACACGGTAATTTGGAAACCGAAGTTAATTGAAAAACGAATTTACTCACCAGGAACAAGTGTCTTAAAAGGGCGGAGCGAAGAAAGTTCGGCTTTCGCTAACTCAGTTTCTTTCAACAACTTACGCCAACTGCGATCAGAATGGTGGACTCTCGCAAGGTCTTGCAGCCTCGAAGCAAATTCGGCGGAGAGCTTGGGTTCTTTCTTTCTCCGGGCTACAAATATCAAAAGTTCCGACCTGTTAGCGAAAAGAAAAGGCCGAAGTTAGGAGGTGGAAAATGGACCAAGGGAGAGGAACTTACTGTAAACCTCAACAACTCGGTTCGGGATGGTCATCCCATCGATTTTAGGCTCCTTAAGGAAGTCAGCCGACTCCCAATCACCGCCAACCCAGAACCACTCCTCCTGAAAGCCATGTAGGGTATCTGGGATGCCGGTAATCAACTGACCGACCTTCAAATCCCCCAGTGCCTTGGCAGAGCAGAAAAAGCAACCAGAGGGTGGCACGCCGTCACGCTCCCGACTGCGTTTGAAGAAAAAGACGCTTCGGAACTCGTCAATCGACGGGAGCGGCACTTTGATTTGAGCGCAAAGGACCAAAAGCCCGATGATCTTCTTCCAACTGTTGGGCGTGATCTGGGAGATGCCTATCCCCCAATCCCGAAGATAGTCGGTGATGATGTTGGGAAGGGGGAATCTAAGCCCCGACTTGATGGTCTCGGCAAAAACGCCCACGCACTCGGGAGGAGGAGAGTGGATCCTCTCGCCAGGGTACGGAGCGAACATCTTCACTGTGGGGGAATCCGTGCCGACTTTCTCAGTAGCACCACGTCGGCATCTGTCATTGTGCTGGGCTCGCCCGGGAACGGAACGTTAAGGTTGGCCCAACGTCGTGGGGGACGATTCCAGAAGCCTTCGCGAACAGGGAGGTCACTTTCCACCTCGGCGTCGCCCTCGTGGTTGTCCCACCGTAAGACCAAGCGCTCAGCCAATAGCGGATCCCAACGGTAATACCCCAGCGCCAACTCTAGGTTTTCCTCCTCGTCAGAGACGACCTCACGACCCACCTCGTCGGAAATCGTCCGGCTACTACTTTCCGCCGCTTGTTCCGTCATTTTTCCGGCGGTCGATGAACTCAAAGCGAAAATAAAAAGGGAAACGCGCTAACTAATTGAAGGATTGAGAGGAAAGAAAGTGAAAGGACTTACCAAAAGCACACGACAGGATCAGAGACGTCGGGAACAGTAACCGTGAGAGTAGAGAGAAGGGTGAAATCGAAAGCGAGGGTCAGGCAGAGAAAAGGCTGTGTGATTCGAGGAGAGGAAAAAGAGAAGTATTTATACTCAAACGATGTAACCGTTACAAAGATAACCGGCGATTTGCGAACCGTCACCTTAAAGGATAGAGACGCTCTGTCTTGTCTAAACGGAAACACGCGGACCAATACGGGACTGCCACGTGTGAAGACTGTCAGAGATCGTGGGAACGTGCAAAGAAAGGTCGAAACCGCTTAAAGTCAGGGGAAAACGAGCGCGTCGAGTCGTGTCATCACGCGCCGTATTGGAAAGCTTATAAACTGCCAGATGGGAAGAGTCGCGTTTTTTGGCTAAGTATAACAGGTCGGTTGAGATTCAGACAGAGGAGGTACAGATAAACACCAGGAATGACATTAAGGCGGGCTTAAGTATAAGTCCCCCTCAATGTCAGGGGCCTTAATGTTGACCTAAAAATTCACTCAAGCGTTGGATGGACGACACGTGGACGACGAGAAAGTAAAGGGACCTGGCCGAGGAGTGCAGAGAAAATGGAAGCCGACCTGTGGAAGCCGACCTCTAGAACGAAGCAACCTCGGGCGCAGGCCGACGTCGGAGCCGACAGGCAGCATTTAATGCTTGTCCATCGACTGTTCAAGGCCCATGTGGAGACATCATTGCGTGAAGGGGGCCCACTGACAAAAAGGCTGCGCAAATGTCATTCCGCATTAAATGCCGCCGAATCTCCTCAAAAGATGAGCCCCCAGTTACTATAAATAGCAGCAATAAAGGCAATACGAGGATCTTTTTCCCGACACATAAATTCCGCATTAATCACTTCGGCTCTCGCCAGTTTTAACATCATTGCACTGTAAAAAACCGACCTCAAGTCCTTGAATAACCGACTTGATATTTTCTTAAGTACTCTCCAGTTATTCAATAAAGTCGTCTCATTACCGCATTAATCTTAAAGTTCAAATATAAAAAGTTGATCAAATCCGTTTATCAACAGGTTTCATGTACTATGAACCGGCACGGACCTAGGTTGTGCCGGCTCCATGGCCCGGGCCGGGACCGATCAGGGGTTTGGACCAGCCCAAATAAAAAAAATTAAAAACAATGTGTTTCCCCCGGACCCGGCCCGTCGGGCCAGGGTCGACAAGAACAAGGCCCTGGATCGGCCCGGTTGAATCCAAGCCTGGCCCGGACCCATGGTCAATGGGTTTGACCGGGCTGGGCCGGGTCGGTGTGCCAGATGGCCCGTGTCCACGCCTACGGAGCGCGACCGGATATATAGATATAGATGTCGTTAAACTATTAATGCCTTTTCTACAATTATGCATATTACATTTTCAAAATTATCCCAAATAAAAATATAATATTTAATGAAATAAACTAGTGAGAATCTCGTGCGACGCACGGGTTTTTGTATTTTATAACATTTTTTTAAAACTTTATTTTAACAATATATTAGCCCACTGACCCGTTTATATTAATATAAATAATATTTTAACATATATATTTATTTTTTAATCTAGAAAAAATAATAATTTTACATACTTTGGTTCATCATAATACTCAAATATTATTTTATTTAAAAAATTATTGTCGTGTAATGTCATTATTATTTATAACACTTATAGAAGTAATTTTATTTTTTTTCATCTAATGATAAATATTTATATTAATATTATTTATTTATTGATTTAAAATTATATAAGCAAATTTAATGTTTATTAGGAATATGATTATATAGAATGTAAGATAAAGTGGAATGAATCTATACTTTTATAAGAAGTCATCCTATTTACTATAATTAGTAGGAAAAAAAAGTCAACTCATAATTAATTGCATACCGTATTTAGAAAGTGTTTAAATTTTTTAAATCATAAAATAGGGTAGCATTAAATGTCCTTAAAATTATGGGTTTTGTTGAATTCGTTTTTAATACATTTTGCATGCAAATTTACGTGTGATTTTGAAGTGAAATTTTAAAATTCAAAATCTCTTCTCATTTTAGTTATAAGAAAATCCGGTTGCATTCAACACTTGGATCTATTTAAAAAATATTCCTTAAATGAAAAAAGTTATAGATAATTGTTATCTTTACTCAATCACATGATTATTTTCAATATAAAAAGAGACAGATTACAAATTAGTGAATCATATATTACCTAATTCAATATATGAACATTAAAGAATAATTCCAGAGTATTATGTAAATCCACATCTCATATTATTATATCATTACAAATATATTATAGTTATATAATTAAATCATAACAAGATATTGAATTCATATTGTAAAAAAAAAAAATCATATAATTTTAAAGCAAGTTTACTACACTATTTAACAATACTCCTTTTTATTATATAATAAAATAATAGTTAAATATTATATGGTGAACAAAAATAAGTAAAATTGTTACTTTCTCTTATAACAATGGATAAATTTATATGCTAAAATTAAATTTTTATTAGTATAAATATTTTAGCGAGATAATATATTAATTATTTTACAAGCAAGCCCTAACATGCTCATATTTAATGTCCTGGCTAAAAAAACAATGCTGGTTAAAAGATGTAGAAAAAAAAACTTATAATCCTATTGTTCTCTAGACTTAACGTTGATTAAAAGATTAAAATATGTAGAAAATAGATAATAACCCTAATACTTTTTAAACTTAAATGGATAAGGCTGTGAAAATAACTCATTTAATATCTATGTCCCGTGCATCGCACGGAATACGTATTAGTAAACCTTAATTGAATAAACCCACCATTTAAGGGAACATTTAATGCTGCATGATTTGATGGTAATTAAAACTCAAATAATTTCCCAAAATGACATGTTGTTGGCAGATTATTTGTTACTATTTTTAGTAAATATGTTCTCTTTTTATATAGATATATATAGATATATACTTTTTATTTATTGACTATGAGGGTCACCTTTTAGATTGAAGATGGAATATATAATATATGAGCTCGAATAAAATGGAATTTACACCTTTTAGATTGAAGATGAAATATATAATATATGAGCTCGAATAAGATGGAGTTTACACCATTTTTCATATGGCTGTTAATGAATAGAACGTTTACTAACATATGTTCGTTCATGTTCAATAATAACTCGTTCGTTTATTAATTGAGACGAATTTAAACAAAAAAAAAAAAATTAGACTCATGTAATTGATACCAAAGCTGGATCAACTCGTCCTTGAGAAATCCAACGGTTTTTACACACAAGAAATGGACGGTTCAGATAATTCAACGCAATAAAAATAGGGTCTAAAAAACCTATTTTTTTCCACCAACAAATGTACAGCTGACTGAGTCGATATGCACCGCCAGGCCAGCGCAGCAAAGTAGCAAAAACCACCGCTTTTGCTCGCACTCTCTCTATCTAGAAAATTCTCCCTTCTCTTCCTAAATTCCTCCAGTTAAGGAAAAACAAGAGCGCAAGGATAGATAAAATGGTGTTCGTGAAGGGTCCGGGCCTTTACTCTGACATTGGCAAGAAAGCCAGAGGCAAGCTTTTCCCTTTATCGGTTTCATTTTGTGTGTGTGTGTGTGTGTGTGTGTGTGTTTTGTTTCTCTTGCGGTGTTGATTTAGGCGATTCAAATTGTGGAAATAATCGGTTTATTTGCTGATTTTTGTGGGTTTCAGATCTTCTTTACAGGGATTATCAGGGTGACCAGAAGTTTACTCTCACTACTTACACCGCAAATGGGGTGGTTCGTACTACTTTGCCTTTTCTGTATATATATCAGCTACTTTTTCGTTGTTTTTCTCCGTGTCGTCGATGGCGATTCGCATCGTAATGTGCCGTGTGCAAGAGAAATATTGAGTTACTCGTTCTTGGATTGATCAAAAGTGATTCTGCGCTGTCTAACTCAGAATTTTTATGCTCTCTGTTGAAAATAACATGACAATTCATTTATTTTTATAGTTGATCACTGATTTGTAGACTTGTAGTGTGCTTGTGTTTGTTGTACTCTCTGTCTTTATTTTATTTCTGCTATTCATATGTGGTTTTTCAAAAAATGAAGGCAATATATAAGTCATGGAGCCTTTGCTTTCATCAGGTTCTTGAATGTTTGTTTACGCGGGCACTGTTAAATTCATTTGTATAGAGTTGCTAACGCATGTTCTGGAAGTTATATAGCTGAATATTGGTATGCTAGTTCATCATGCTTTCAACCTCAACCACATTCATTGGTTTTGTTAGGGCACATTTGAATTGTCATTCTACATCTATCCCCGAAACATATTGAGCTTATAATGATACAGGGGTCTAAGCTTTTTTGGATAATGATTTTCTTTTACTACTTCATCACTGGGTAGTATTTATCTTCAATATTTTGTATCATATTTCATTGTTTGACAACTATTCTGTTGTTGCTGATTCTTTACTATGTTTCTGGTTCCATAGGCCATCACTTCATCTGGGTCCAAGAAGGGTGAACTTTTTCTTGCTGATGTTAACACCCAGCTGAAGAACAAAAACATGACAACTGATGTGAAAGTGGACACTAACTCCAATGTAAACCATCTTACGTTGCTGACTATATAAGTAGCATAGTATAAAAACTGCTAGTTGCAATAATTATTTTCCTGAGATAAGCTATTTGTTGAGAACGTTTGATATCTGAATTACTTTATACCTTTGTGGCATCTATAGTGTATACAGATGGTGACTTGCGTGTTCCTTTCCTTAATGTTCATTAATTAATTAAAAATTGTACCAGAGGGGATGGCAACGGTTATTGCCATTGGGTCTTACCGATCATCTTGATCACATTAGAGTGCCCTTTATACTTAGCCTGACTGTCTAAATTAATTAATGAGGTTGTTTTTTTTTTTTTGGTTCTACTTAACTAATGAATTTGGTGTCTACAAATATTACTATATTTACACTCTTCTCTTTGCTTTTATGTATCAGTTTTATCCAATCTGTTATCAATTTTTGTCTTCATATTTACATTTGGTCATGATCCTTATTTGTGACTGTAATGGTCGTTTAAACAATCTTGAATCTATTATATTTGCATGGATGTTTTATATATGGTGGTTCATTATTTGATGCTGAAAAAGAAGAAAATAATAATAATAATAGTAATAATAATATAAGAAAGAGAGATCTCCAGCAGGCCTGGTTCCTTTAACATTCTCCGGACATGCATGCCTAATCAAATAGAAGTTCTGCAATTGTCTGTTGTGTGTGCGTGGATTTGCTTTTATCATTTCTCTTGTTTTTTTTAAATGTCGTAGCAATCATGAAATTATGTCTGCATTTTTCTGAGATTATATGAGTCTGATTGTTTAGGTTTACACTACCATTACTGTTGACGAGCCTGCCCCTGGAGTGAAGGCTATCTTTAGCTTTGTTGCTCCCGACCAGAGGTCGGGCAAGGTAACTTTATTTTCCCCTGTTGCCTATGTTTTGGTATCGTCATGTTCTTTGAATTATATGTGCTCACGTATTCACTATGTCTAGTGGGATAATAGAAAAACATGTTTTGTTTCTGGTAAATGGTTACAGGTGGAGCTTCAGTATCTGCATGAGTATGCTGGTATAAGCACTAGCCTGGGGCTTACTGCAAAGCCCATTGTCAACTTTTCTGGAGTTGCTGGTAATCAGAATGCAGCTTTTGGGACTGATATCTCATTTGACACGGCCACCGGGAATTTTACCAAATACAATGCTGGAATCAGTTTTACCAATGCCGACTTAATTGCATCCTTGACACTGTAAGTACATTTTAAGTTTTTAAAAAGGAAAATGAAAAAGAAACATTGCATCGAAGCTCATGGTGGATGAATTATTTTACACAGACGTAGAGAATGAGTTATTTACAGTACCTTCTCATGGAGGACTACTTGTGTAAAGTGTTGTCGTATCTACTGAAAGTAGCAAATGTGTTCGGTTTCAATTTCGTTTCTTGGTTTTTGAAAGCTAGGTTTCACTTATTTGTTAAACAAATTGTGTAGTGTCTTTGTTGTGGAGGGCTGGCTATGTTTGCATTAGTGACCAGTAAAGGGATAAAGTGTAATTTTCTTGTACTTATAATACTAGTGAAGTGTCAAACGTTGGTTGAGAGTGTTACTTGAAAATAAGCCTGTTCTCTTTGATTTATTGAGCGTGTGTACATGAAAGTTATCAATCCTTTTTATTCTATGTTTGGTGATCAGGAAAAAGGAGAAAGTCTGATTTGCTTGTATGTATATTACTAGTGAATTTAGTGCCAAACATTGGTTATAAGCGTGCTTACCAAAATGCACTTTCTTTGATTTATTTAGTGAGTTAAAGTGATAAATACATCAATTCTCCTTGAATTTTTTTTTTTTTTTTTTTTTTTTTTTTTTTTTTTTTAATTGGAATTGATCTGACAACGGCTGGGAAAAATCCATCTCTTTCTGTTGTGGAATTGGATAGTTACTCATGTGAAATTTCCAAAAATATATCTTACAGTTTTGCCTTATTGCAAAATGATCCGGATATGCATCAAACTTTACAAATGTACAAACTACTTATAGAGACTCCATTTAGGTTTGGATTTGCTTGACGAGTACACTTGCACTAACTACTAAGACTTTGTTTAGGTTTGTATTTGCTTGACAAGTACCCTCTTTATATATGAGCATTTCATATTTCATAACATGAAAGCAGATATCATAGCATATTTGCAATTCTCAGACCTTTGATTTGTTCATTTTTAGCCCAAACCTCAAGAGTATCTTTTGTATTAACTTTGTTTTCTTTCGGTCTTTCCATCTTTTGCGGCAGGAATGACAAGGGCGAAAGCGTAAATGCATCCTACTTCCACACGGTGAGCCCATTGTCCAACACAGCAGTTGGTGCGGAGTTCACCCACAGCTTTGCTACCAATGAAAACACCCTCACCATTGGGACCCAGCACATGCTCGACCCCCTCACCTCAGTCAAAGCTCGGGTCGACAACTATGGGAAAGCGAGTGCCCTCATACAGCACGAGTGGCGCCCCAAGTCCCTGGTCACCATTTCGGGTGAGGTGGACACCAGGGCCATTGAGAAAAGCGCTAAGATTGGACTCGCTGTCGCAATCAAGCCGTAAAAGTTAACGAGAAAAAAATATCAAGTAAAAGGTAGACATTTATTTTTTCTTTCTGTTTGTTTCTTTGGGACTGAGAAAGAAATAAAGATGATCCTGTTCATTCTATGGGGATGCCTGGATAATCATACTGGAATCTGATTTGTGGTGTCGAATTTCTTGAATGTGGATGGCTTTGGGGCTAGGAACTTGGAGCTGATTTTTGTTTTTAAACTCGATTCAGGGGGTTGTTCGGTTGCTCTAAGTATATCTGTCCTGTTTGGATATCTGATTGGGATGTTCTTGTTGCTCTTTGACGGTTACCTCGTAGAATCGATATTCAGTCCTTTTATTGGGATTCACATAATTGGTGGCATTCGTGTTATTAACGGGAATTTAGTACCCAACTCGTGGTTGGAATTTTTTTAGATTTATAAGGTATTCAGAAGCATTCTTTTAACTTGAACTAGTAAAGTGCATGGGATTGTTTTTTGCCAATTAAGTTTAGTAATATAATCAATTATTATATTAAACATAGCATTTCAAAATAGACAAATGAGTTTTTATTTTTTTTAAAAAAAAAAAATAATATAATGATGTCAATTACAATCGCAACAAAATATATGAAGAATGAGTATATAATGGAAAAAAACTTAAATAGCTAAATAAGAATTGAATGTATATTATTGATTCATACATTATTGATTCATACATTATTGATTCATGAGTTCTCTAGTTATTTATGTTGATGATTCAATTTTTAATTTTTATTTTTTTTGGTTTTTACATTCTTATAATAAATATTCATAGTTTTAATACATTAATATTGTGGTAGAATTCTTTTTAATTTATTTGATAAAACGTCTACTTTATTTAAACAGTTATAAACATTCTGGTCAAACATATACTCAAGTTGCAAGATTGCAAGCTGTTCAGACTTACCACAATTGTAGCAATTTTCTCTAAACTTCTTATGTGCTCTCTTATGATTACTTGCCACTTGACAACTGTAGCAATTTTCTCTAAACTTCTTTTATACTCTCTTATGATTACTTGCCACTTGAAGTTGTCTTACGTTTCTTACTGGAGTTTGATTCAGTCTAAGTCTGAAGTCCCTCCGATTAGCCCTCACTTTGGATTTTCAGTAATCTTCCTCGATCTGAAGTCGGACTATGAAGTCTTCCAACATCATCTCCTTGCATTTATGCATGAGATTACACTCATTGAAATCCTTTCAAAGCATGAAATTTTTCAAAGATAGTCACGACTTGAAAAGCTTCATTCATCTCCAAAGAATTTCATGATTCCTTAATTGTCATAAAGGTTATTAAAGTTGTAAATAACCATCTAGTCCATTTAATGATATAATTTCTACACAAGATTTCATTTTGATGCCACAAATCCAAGAACATATGCTTCTCGCCGTCAATCTCACTTTCGGGTGAGAGAGAGAGAGAGAGAGAGAGAGAGATTTTGTTGCCACCTTTGAAATCAATATTGTTAAATTACAATAACCTTTTGCCGTGGATGGGTGATGGATTGGTAGCTGGCGTAACATTCAGTGTTGCATTTGTAGAAGTATTTTTCTTAAATAGGCATTTTTTTAAATCAAAATTTTTTTGTCTTTATCAGATGGTATGTGAATATTAATGAAATGGCTTGAAAAAAGGAAAAAAAAAAAAAAAATGACTGAAATTGTAAAACCAAGACATGTAACAGTTATGTTTCCCTTAAGACAAAATTGTTCTTTTTAATACCTCTGGTAATAACAAATGTATCCAAGTTACACCGACTTTTTAATTAGATTATAGCATATGTCAAATGTAGTAAACTTCAGCCAAAAAAAAA